TTTATTCCCTTTATTTATACTATTTCGAAACTAACCAATTATAGGCTTTAAAAAAAAGGGTTTGATCTAATTACCAAATATTTTTAAAATTAGAACAAACAGTTGTAGTATTAATTTGTTCGATTAGGAAAACTGGCCAATGATTTCGTAATAAAGAAAAACAATTTTACTTTTAATTTATGTTTAAATATCTTAACGGGATTCTTTATGTGTGTAATCGAAATTATGGCATAAAATAGCACATAAGTATCTAAAATTATAAAACACGAGACGTGACGGTTAGACAATTCATTATTTACCTAAATTTATACTGTGGGAATAGTTTAATGCATCACAAGAACATGATAGACTGATTCATTAAAAGGTATAAAAATACTTAATTATCGGTATGGTGTAATCGTACTCACGTTTTTGACGGATTGGTATAAATATCTTACGAACTGTTACTACTCTTTAATTTAAATGCAGAGTAGAGTTTTCTTTTCTCTAAAGTTGAAAATTTGTTAAATATATAATAATAAAAATGTCGGATACTTCAGATGCGGGCCCTAAGTGGAACTATGAATTTATAACTTCAGGAGCTCCAAGACAACCAAATGAAGGTGCTTTTAAATATAATTTACGAAAATTGTTTACAGTAAAATCATGGGAAAGCTTGGAGGAAGATCAACGAACTTCCGAGCTTAGAAAAGAGTTGAATGTCTTTGAGTTGATTATGATTGGCTTAGGCAGTATAATTGGGACTGGGATATTTGTTTTGACAGGTGGGCTAAAAATGGATTGTTATAATTGTAAAAAGATACTTTCATCCGAATTTCAATTGATGTAATTAGGTCAAGCTGCTGCGACTAAGGCGGGCCCTGCTGTCGTTATATCTTTCTTATTGGCTGGACTTGCTGCTAGTTTTGCTGCGTTATCTTACTCTGAGTTAGCCTCGATGATTCCAATTTCAGGTTCATCGTATACTTATACGTATACAACCATGGGTGAACTTATAGCTTGGATCATCGGTTGGGATTTAACTTTGGAATATTTGGTGGGTGCTGCTGCAGTGGCTGTTGGTATGTAATTTATCTTTACTTATTAGCATTAATATTATATTATTAAAGTTTTGACTCCCACAATATTAAAAAGGGTGGTCTGGCTATTTTACGCATTTTTTTTACGATGGCTTTGGTATTCAATTCTCTCCATCATGGACCAGCGCTCCGATAATTTTCAATCATACGAGACAAGCTTTTGAACTAGTTCCTGGAGCTTATTTCAATGTTCCTGCCTTTACTATCGTAGTTCTTTTGACTACTCTACTCGTTGTAGGAGTTAAAGAATCAGCAAGAGTTAATGCATTTGTTGTCAGTGTAAAAGTTTTAGTTATATTATTGTTCGTTATTGCAGCTGGAACTCATATCAAGTCAGAAAATTACCAACCATTTGTTCCACCAAATGAAGGAACATTTTCCAGATTTGGTGTATGTTTAACATTAATTTCAGTTTAAATTGTTGACCAAATTTTTTCATTGAGACTCAAAATATAATGAAATTTAGGCTACTGGAATATTAGCAGGGACTAGTGTCGTGTTCTTTGCATTTATCGGTTTTGATTCGATTTCAACTATTGCACAAGAATCTAGAAATGCGCAAAGAGATTTGCCAATTGCGATTATGGGCAGTTTCGGTATTGTC